ATAAGATTCAAAAGATCAAATCTACAGAGGCAGAGAAATAGCTTACAGCAGGCACAGAAATCTAAACTGTGAGAAAAGTAACGATGTGACAATATGATGGAATGGGACAAGCAGAGGGCTGGAAGTTATAACTTCCCTGGGCTTCAATTTTCCTCATCTCTAAAAGCAAAGTACACCCTGTCAAAACCCACGCAAACAATATAGTGCTAACTTAAAGCTCACTTTTTAATTCACATAGGAGAGAAGCCTTTATATGTAAGCAATATATGTATGTTCCACTTACTATCAAAGGCATGCATGAATTCACACTGGAGAATATGTAAGTAATGAGGGAAAGTCTTCACTCAATCCAGTCCTTTCACATGCTCAAAAGAATTCACACTGGAGAGGAACCCTGAATAAAGAATGTGGGATGATTCACTATCGCAAGACTTTTTCAGTACTCCTGAGAATGCCAAGGGGAGAGAACTTATATTAACACAAAGCATGTGGGAATGACTATAGTCAGGTCTATTCAATTCACAGATGTAAAGGAACGCACTACCTTCCACAGAAGAGATATGCAAAAGTCTTCAGTGATTACTTGTAAAAATGCACACTACATTGAAAATCTGAGAATGTGAAAAATACAAGACAGTTGTCAGTTGTAACAAGTAGTTTCAATATCTCCTGAAACTTCCTAATGTAAGGAAGTCATATTGAATCTAAGTGGTAGGAAGAGCCTGATACAAAGTAATTCGTAGGGGCTGGGGTCTGGCTCAGCCATAGAGCACTTGCCTAGCATGTGTGAGGCACTGGGTTCGATTCTCAGCACCCCATATAAATAAATGAAATAAAGGCCAATTGACAACAAAGTAATTCGTATAGAAAGAAATGACAGAAGTTTTATATATGTATGTATAAGTATACACACACACACACATAATATATAGTGTGTGTGTTTAGCAGTGGTTCATTCTTGAAGTACATCTCTGGAGAATACATTTCCTCATTTTTACTTGTGAAAAGAAACATGACAGTGGCATCATTCCATAAGCATTGTTTAAACAAGAGTGGATGACTTTTATAGGTCATGTTTATTTTACTCAAAGCAGGTAATAAAATTGGGATTAACCCAGAAAATAAAATAGAAGGTCCCCTTTCACAAGTAAGCATGGGGTAGCAAGAGAGTGCTGTGAGTAAGACATAAAATGCCATTATCTGACTCAACATTTATTGAGAACAATTATGAGTCAGGCACTATGCGAAGTCAGGCCCCTGTCCTCCAGGGGCTTACACTCTACCTCAAACTGAGAGCATTTAACGCCATGAGACAAATGCGGTGCAAAAGGAAAATGTGGGATGTTAAGGGGGTCCCAGAAGAGATAGACAATTCCGGTGTGGACGCTAGGCATCTTGGGAAAGATATTCAGAGCTATCTTATTAGAATAAGAATTAACTGGGGGTTCATTCTAGACAAAAGGAACAACATGTGCAGAGAAACTAAACGGAGCTATACCATTTTGGCAAGCACCTTTTCCTTGCCTGCCAAAACCAAATCAGGAGCATGGTGTCACTTTTCGAAAACCAGAACATCGACTCTTGCCCAGTGAGTGGCTGCTATCGACATTCCAGTCTACTGCTCAGCGCTGCGTCCCAGGCCCTTCCTACAGAGTAAGGTGCATTTCCTGTAATAGTCGCTGACCGACGTCTCCTTCTCAATGGGAAGCACTGCCAGATTGCAGCCAGGACGAAGGCCACAGGAGCAGGGGAGAGGCTCGGCGTGCGGGGACGTGAAGATGCCCACGAACTCTGCCCAACTCCAAGGAGCACCGGGAGGTCTCAGACTGAGGAACGAGAACGATTCCTGGCCGCAAAGACCGCAAGGGCACAGCCCCTCCGCGCCCTCCAGCCCTGACCTGGGGACACCCGGGGACGCCAGGGTAGCCGAAGGGACCAATGCGCAGGGGGACCGAAGGGGCGCCGTCGCCGAGGAGGCGCCACAAGACCACGTCCAAGGAAGCGGCAGCCTCCACAGCCAGCTGCCGGCAGGGACCCGCGAAGGCGCGGCGCCCACTCACCGCTGCTGCTAGTGAAGTAGAACACCATGATCCCGACGGCCGTGCGACCAACCCAGAACCCAGCAGCAGGACTCAAATCGCGAAGCTCAGGACACCAGAAGCTCGGCGCCCGCCTGCTCCCCGGAACTCCCGCGCGCACTTCCGGCGGACGTAAGGTCGCGTCATAACGCCGTCCCGTGGGCGCCATCTTTAATCCTGGCGCGGCGGCGTGGCATTAGCCGGGCGCCAATCACCTGAGGGTTGAGGAAGGGAGGAGGGAGGCAGAACAACTTGAGGTTAGAAAACTCGACGTCTTCTTTGAAGTCTAAAAGGAAAAATGCTATTGGCAGATCTTTCCAGAGCCTACGTCCAGTGCGCATTCATATCTAGAGGGATATTTATAGATTTTATCCGCCTTCCCTCAACCTTTCCTGAGCTTCAGGAAAACAAAAACTGCTTTTTTTTCACAGCAAGGGGTATGCTGATCGCACAGTGTGGGGCCTGATAGGAGTTCACTACATTTTAAGTGAACTCAAATTCCTTCGCCAAACTTTAAATTTCTAATTTTTCTACTAGGCCCATCTTGCACTCCCTTGTAAAATCCAGTTTTAGCAAAGACCTCTGTTGCGTCAGTTTATCTGGAACCTCCTGGCACCTACCCTCCGTCACCTCCCGGGTAGTCTCTGATCACCTAGGACTGTCTAGAGCAAGAATCCTGTAGGGCAGTTTAGCCGCAACCCTCCCTACCCCTGATCCTGATGTGTCCCGTTGGTGATTTTCTACCCACTGACCTCCAGCCTGCATATCGGCTGTCGTCTCGCTTGCCCACCCCATATTTGGAGTTGAGCTCCATCTCTCTGCCACAGTGCATAAGTTCTAAATTCTCACATACTTTAACAAGTATAATAACTTTATTGAACATAATCTCATTCTAGCTCTGTTAGGACAAATCATGCACACGTGGCAAAGGTGGGAGACTGGAAGCAAACCTGGGATCAGCAGTTTCTAGTGGCGGGGTCTATTGGTGGCAAAAGGCCTGGCTTGGCTCATTTTAGGGGCAGAAAATGGCGCAGGCTGAATAAAGGGTCTGGGCTTCCTTTAGGATGGAACAGGAAGGTGGATAGGAAATCCCCTGGGGCTTATTGAATTGAGTCAGGTGGCAGTCTGGTAAGAATTCCTTTTGTGTTCCTTTGCTCTGGCTAGGGCCTGGGATTTTAAATAACAAAAGCTTAGGGAAAATGCCCTTGAACTTACTATCTGTATCCTTCAAGCTCATTGCTTGTAAGGTAAATGTTGGGCATATTAGACTCTGCTTCACTTTCTTTGAATCTCCCCAATACAAGTGATAATAGAGAAATTAACTCTGGATATTTTGCTAAGGTTAAGTCAGTTAATAGGCATCAAGGTTTTAGAATGTAGGAATCTCGCAAATTAATTGTTATTGATATTCGTATTGCTTCCTGGGGTTTGGACTATTCTGACTTTAAATCTAAGGTCTGTCATCTATTACCTATGAGATCAAGCAAATGCCAAACCTCTGAACCTCAGAGGTCCTCTTGCTGTAAGTGGGAATAATCATTTCATGTGAACAACACTTAGGTTTTTTTTTTTTTTTTGGAGGGGTGGGGGTGGGGGCACTCCGCTACTGAGCCACATTCCTAGCTCTATTTTGTATTTTATTAGAGACAAGGTGTCACTGAGTTGCTTAACATCTCGGTAAGCTGCTGAGGCTGGCTTTGAACTTGCCATCCTCCTGCCCCTGCTTCCTGAGCCACTGGGATTACAGGCATGCACCACCAAGGCAGCCCAGTACTTAGTTTTGATTTAATTAATTTTCTTCTTATAAACAAAAATTCTGAAAGGTCATTGTTTTGGACTCTGCTTCTTCACTAAGCCCCAACAGACCAGACCAAACCAAAATGAAGTTACCGGTGCTAAATGCCACAGACACTGAAGCTTTAAGGAAGCAGATAGATCCCCAAACACAGCAGTCTTTCCTGAAAACAGGAGACCCTAGTCTACAGGATCCTGCATAAGAACTCTTCCTTCCACTTTAACCCTTACAACAAGACCTTGAGGTAACCTTGTGTTCACCAGTATTTTCCTCTTGTTCTACATTCTTGTTTCTACCTTTCAAAACCCAATATTCTGCTACTTCCCAGTGAGAGTTTTCATTCTGTTTTGTAAGCTGGAGGCTGCCCAATTCATGAATCACGAATAAAAGTCAATAAAATCCATAATTAAATTTCTGTTAATTTTGGTTTTTGACAATTCTTCTCATCACTTATCTAAGTTTATTTAGAACTGAAAATGTGCCAGAGAATACCATGAACTAGTGACACAAATATAATAGAGCTTTAGGAACCTTCCTGTTTCCCAAAGCAAGAACCTACCATGTTCCATAAATAGTAATTCTTTTCAGGTTTTATTCTTTGTAAAATGGAAATGATAATACATACCTCATAGACTGCGGTGAGGAGTAAGCGAAACAAAACATAAAACAACTGAGAATGCTTGAGAAGTAGATATTTGTACCCTGATTGGACTTCATAAATTTAACTTGGAGAATAAAAAAGTGAAATAGGAACCTAAAATTTTATTAACTTTAAAAAAGGTGAAAGTAATGATCAAATTTCAAATGCGAAAAATATGTGCCTGGAAAATCTTGGAGCGATTACAAAAACTACTTCCACTAAGTGACTCCACAATTTTATTTTTTTAACCTCGTTTTAGACCACAACGGGTCTAAAACTACAATTCCCACAATGCATCTCGAAGAGTCCCGAAAATGGAACGCCCGGTTGTCGCAGGAGATTGAGGGAGGCGTGGTTTCCCGGAGGGGAGAGCTCTTTGCCTCCCAAGGGCGGGAGAATCCTGGAGACAGCCTCCTTGGAGGGCGGGGCAAGGGCTAGTGAGCGACCAATCATCGAGCCCATCCTGGAAGCGCTGAGCGGCGACGAATCGGAACACAGCAGAGACCGCCTGGTCTGGCGCGCGTTAATTTGAATGCGCTCCTGGGACCACTGCAGGACTGAGGAGAGGTCTCGGGACCTGCGCGCGGGCCACCACTGCGAGGGTAGAGGCTGGAGGAGAGCCGGGCGCTCTGTGGAACACCGGGGTGAATGTCGAACAGCTTTTGCTCTGGGCCGGGCGGGTTGGCGGGCTGGAGACCGCGCTCGCGGGCACCGGTTTCCATCTTCCGACGCCAGCGTTGTGGGCAGCGCTGCCCGGGCAAGACGCGGAGAGGGCTCTTTTTGACCTTCCCTCTTTCGGCCCCAGAACGGGGCTCCCCGGAGTGCATCTGGACGTGCGTCCCACGGACCCGGGTCCTTCTCTCTGTCCAGCTCTAAAGTCTCGCTGGTGTAATTTGGGGGGTGGGCTATGCATGAGGCAAAGGGAGGGAAGGGAGGGAGGGAGCCTCGCTGAGCAGCGTGCAGTCAGTTGCCGAGTTCACCGCAGGAGTTCACCGCAGGACTTGCGGGGGTCCCCTCAGCTGGCAGCCTGGGGGAGGGTTAGGTTCACCACCCCTCCCCCCTCCCTGGGTAGTGGGCATTGAACCCAGGGGCGCTTTACCACGGAGCCACACCTCCAGCCCTTGTTAAATTTTAAAAAATTTGAGACGGGGTCTCAATAAGTTGTGCTGAGGACCTTGCTAATTTGCCCAGGCTGGCCTCCAATCTGAGGCTTTAGCCTCCCGAATTCTTGGGCCGGCTTCACTCATTTTCCTGCTGGGCTCTGATGAAAAATGACAGTCGGTCTCTGCCTTCATTGAACGCTTAGGCTGTTGATGGTTAATAGGAAAATGGGCTAAATGGAATATTAAAGGAGTATACTGTGCAATGGAAGCAGAGAACTAGATAAACAGTGGGGGAGGGTTGTGTGGAGTGAGAGCAATGTCAAGGAAGGTCACCTAATTATGTGAATTAAGGGGAAAAGTGCCATGATTTAGAGTAAAGTCTTTTCCATTTGGTAGGATCATTTTCCAGCGTGAAAAATATTTCTTACTGTGGTGTAATATACTCTTTAAAATTTATGGTTTAAACCTTTATTAAAGTAGTTTGTCTTTTTAAATTCATGGTTTAAACGTAATTTGCCTTGGAAAAAAATCTTTTTCTTGGATTTTCTAGACCATTATTTACCTTTTTTATTGTTGTTGTTCTGGGGATTGAACTCAGGGACACTTAACCACTAAGCCACATCCCCAGTCCTATTTTTGTATTTTATTTAGAGACAGGGTCTCACTTAGTTGCTTAGTGCCTCCATAAGTTTCTGAGGCTGACTTTGAACTCACAGTCTTCCTGCCTCAGCCACTGGGATTACAGGCATCTCCTCTGACAGCCCTTTTTCAGCCTTTTAAAATTTAGTTTTGACGTGATTGTTATACCCATTTGATGAATTTGGTTACTAGCATTGACTTAATTGCTTTTAGGAATTCAATTAAGATGGCAACTATTACTCCAAGGAAGAGGAAGCGGCCTTCTGTGAACTGTGACAGGTGAGTCTCATCCTATGCATAGAAATTCTGAAAAAAGAAAACTCGACCTTGTGTTGTTCTCCTATTTCCTAAATTTTTAATTCTGTTATTAAAATGCCTCTTTGGTTACAGTAGTATTTTATATTCTAATTCTAGTTTGAAAATACAGTAAACTTTTAAAGTGAATTATTTAGTTCTTTTGGAGAGAATAGAAGAATGCTGTTTTCTGTGGCTAAGACGTATGGTAAATCTCTTATTTCATTGTTCCCTTCTATTCAGTTCTTTTTTTTTTTTTTTTTTTTTTTTTTGAGTACCGGGGATTGGACTTAGGGGCCCTCAACCACTAAGCCACATCCCCAGCCCTATTTTGTATTTTACTTAGAGACAGGGTCTCACTTGAGTTGCTTAGGGCAACCTCGCAGTTGCTGAGGTTGGCTTTGAACCGCCATCCCTAGCTGCTGGGATTACAGGCCTGGGCCACTGCAACTGGCCTCCTTTCTATTCACTTGGAACATAAGTTTTGCATAGAGTAGAGAGGCTTTTCTGTAAACTGTGCCAGAAAGTCTGTGTATAGTGATCCACCCACCCTGCTGTGTCTGGTTTTGCTTTTCAAGATTTTAGTTATCTGTAATCAAGTGTTGTCTGAAAATATTAAATGCAAAAGATAAGTACAGTGCAGTAAGATATTTTGAGAAAAAGACCACATTCACATAACTTTTATTACAGTATATTGTTATAATTGTCCATTTTTATTGTTAATCTCTTATTGTGTCTAGTTTATACAATAAATTTTTATAGGTGTGTGTGTATACCAAAAAACATGGTATATACAGAATTTAGTTATGTGTAGACTCAGGCATCCACTAGGCAACTTGGAATGCATCTCCCTGATATAAGAGGGGAATACTGTAGTTGGTACTCAACTACATGCCATACCAGAGATACAAATTACTTCCCACAGAAAATGCCAGGGATTGCTTATTACAGAGAAATAATCATTTGGGGAGTCTTTGATCACCAATTAAGTAAAATATATGGGCTATAATTTATATGGTCTAAACATAGAAATTGATTTTGGAACATATCAAAGCTTTTTTGGAAACAACATTTGTTTTCATGAACATTATTAGTACCTTTGGGAAGTTACTTGAATACTTGATAAACACAGAATTTAAGACTCCTACTATTAAATTGATAGTCTTTATGAGTGGCTTAGAGAGATGTATTATTTTTGATATGACCTATACATAGAAATATTACTTATCAGTAAATTTATATAGGTTTTGAAGCAAAATAATGAACTTACAAATGGACTTTGTTTCTTTTCATAGCTTATTATCTTCATCAAAGAAGTTAATTATGGACTTTACTGAAAATCTGTTTCCATCACCTAGTAAAAAGCACACTTATCAAAACAGTGATGAAAGTGAAGAAAAGCTATATTTTTCTCAAAAAGGCCATTTCATTTCAAGTCCACTCAAGAAAATTAAAAAAAACAGATTGCCATCTGCAAGTCATAGCTCACCATTTAAATCTGCTGTACCCACTGTGTCTTTTTACAATAAAGACAATAAAGATAAGTGGTATCTTAATCCACTGGAGAGAAAGCTGGTGAGAGAGAGTAGATCCACTTACCTAAAAACTAATAATGAAGATAAATCTTTTCCCAGAATGACAGAAAAAATACAGGGAAAACCAATCTGCACCAAGAAGAAGAATAAAAAAACACAGAAGAGTTTAACTGCTAAGTATCAATCAAGTTATAAGCACATCAAGCCTATATCAAGAAATGCTAAGCATTCCAAGCAAAATCGGATGTCCTATAAGCCAGTTGTGGAAAAAGAGAATAATTGTTATTTAGCTGAAAATAATCCAAATACTCCTAGGGTTCTAAGCCAAAAAATAAAACCACAAGTTACACTCCAGGGTGGAGCAGCATTTTTTGTTAGTAGAAAAAAACTTTCTCTTAGAAAATTGCCTCTGGAAAATAAGCCATCACTGGAACTCACCCCAAAAAATAAACCAGAAGTGATTAAAAAGTCTGAGATAGAGACTGCATGTGAAAGAAAAACTTTTGTGAAAAGTCAAGTGCCAAAGTGCTTGTTAATAGAAAAGAAATTGAATGTGGAGCTGAGTACAAAAAGTAAAGATGAAGAGGAATTAATAAAGGTAAAGAAAGCTAAATATATCACTTTAAAAAAAGCTGGCTTTTAAACAAAATTTCATTATAAATAACGACATTATTAAACAATTTTTTTTTTTTTTTTTTGAGATAGGGTCTCACTTAAGTTGCTTGGATCCTTGCTAAGTTGCTGAGGCTGGCCTTGTACTTGAGATCTTCCTGCCTTGGCCTCCTTAGTTGCTGGGTGTAAGGCTGCTTTTATGAAGCCAGATAGATAGGGTAAAGAATTTAGAGGCAGGGTGGGAAAGATGAGACATCCCTTATTTTGCTTCAGGGAATATTTTTCTAAAGTGTAAGCATGTTGGTTTTGTTTATTCGTTTTAGCTCATTATTGATTAAGTAGGTTACTCTAGAAATTTTAAAGTACAGAAAGTATATTTTTAAAAAGCCTTCAATAGTCCTACTACCTAGAAATGATCACTGTTGATCTATAGATGGATTTTGGTTTATCTATTTATTTTGGGGGGGCGGGATATGGGGATTGAACTCAGCAGCACTCAATTGCTGAGTTGCTTAGCACCTCGCCTTTGCTGAGGCTGGCTTTGAACTCAGGATCCTCCCGCGCCTCCTGAGCTGCAGAGATTAAAGGTGTGGGCCACCATGCCCAGCCAATTTTTGCTTATTTTATGTATACTATGTTTTCACAGTTGCCATTCTGTGCCTTTTTGTTTGGTCTTTCTCATATTAACACCGGTAGTATAGATTTGTGCTATCTAATAGGAATATGATGAGCCAAAACCAAAACTTAATAGGCAATAGGCTTCAGAAAGGCTGTCTCCCAGTTCAGGGCTTCCATGTCTGCCTTGTCATTTATACTTATCTCAACCCTTGCAGCTGAAGAAATGATAGGCTTGTATAATGTCCATACTGTGTGAGGATCATATGTCTTACCAGCAATTCAAACTCATAGTCATTTCCTCCCTAACCCATGTCTCATCATTGTCATCTTCACTGCCTCCTCTCAAGTTCAACCTCAATTTTTATCTCCTGTAGTATTCTATAGTTCAAAACTCAGTGGCAAAGATTATAAATTGGTAGCCTATGGATCAAATCTAGCCCATGGATGTTTTGCTTGGACTACGTACGTAATTAAGAAAATTTCATTCAAATTTTTTTAAATGCAAGAAAACATTTCTGATTTCTCATTTCTACATGACAGTCTCTCAGAGCTGAGTTTCATCCTCTTTGACAGATAGTGTTTTTCATTTCCCTTCACTGTCAGTGTATGTATTATATATTTAAATCAGTCTAGTTTTCCAGTTGTGTTTTTCTTTTTTTGGTACTTGGGATTGAACTCAGGGCCACTTGACTGCTGAGCCCAAGACCTATTTTGTATTTTATTGAGTGGCTTAGCCCCTTGCTTTTTGCTGACACTGGCTTTGAACTCATGATCCTCCTGCCTCAGCCTCCTGAGCTCCTGGGATTACAGGTGTGCACCATGATGCCTGGCCAGTCAATACAGTTTTGATATCAGTTTCACTTACCTGCTGCCCTTATAGGCATTTAAATTTGTAGTCCCTACAGTAAATGTTTCTTCTTGTCAATCTTAAGTATTGTCAAGTTTATTGTTGGGCTGGGGATGTGGCTCAAGCGGTAGTGCGCTTGCCTGGCATGCGAGCGGCCCAGGTTCGATCCTCAGCACCACATACAAACAAAGATGTTGTGTCCGCCGAAGACTGAAAAATAAATATTAAAAAAAAAAGTTTATTGTAAGCGAGATAATATTGTTGGCTAAGCCATGACAATCTAATTCCATTAATTCTTCATGTTCTATTTCTACAACAAAATATCCCTGTGTAGATTTTGGTTATATAGATCTGTAAGTTTATCAATATTCGTTGAACTGTACACTTTATACCTATGCATTTCACTATATATAAGTTTGCCTTCATTTTTTTAAAAACTCTGGGTACAACTAATTAAGGTCTCAATATAACAAAACAAGTAGAGTGCAGTTTCCTTACCCATCTCCCACTGATTGCTATCTACATTATTATGAAGATTTGACAGCTTTCCTATGATGAACTGATAAAATTCATTTTCTTTCTGAGCTTCACTGTAAGGGACTGGGTATTCAGTTTTCAAAAGTCTGAGAAGCTGGAATATTGTCTATCTTTAATTTGTACACATGGGCTCTATTGTCTCTTAAGATTTCATTAAATAGCCACTGCTAGGATTCAAATCTGAAAGGGTATAAATATCTGTGCTACTATTCAAAAAGTGGGAACCTTTGTGGGAGAAACCTCTCCAGTGACTCCACAATGTTATTTTCTTTCCTTGGCTATTCATTTTAAAGTCAATAACAAAAAGTTGTACCTTTTCAGTTTAGTGGCTTCTGGAGAAATTTTTGCCATTTTACTAATTCTTTTCACTTTATTATTATGGAAGTGTGGTTTATAATTTTCATTCTGCCATCTTTATCTGGGTGGCCAGGAGTAGTGGCACAGCTGTAATCCCAGAGGCTCAGGTGGCTAAGGCAGGAGGATTGCAAGTTCAAAGGCCAGCCTTAGTAACTCAGCAAGGCCCTAAGCAGCTCAGTGAAACCCTGCCTCTAAATAAAATATTTAAAAAGGCTGGGGATATGGCTTAGTGGTTAAGGGCTCCTTGGTTCAATTCCTTGTACCAAAAAAGACATCCATCTTTATCTGGGAGAATATTACATTTTTGACAAGGATAACAAATTATAATATGTGTACTCTGACTTTTAGTTATTTGGTTTTGTGTGTGTGATGTTGGGAATTGATGTTGGACCTTGCATATATTAGGAAAGGGCTCTACTGCTGAGCTACATCCTTAGCCCTGTACTCAGACTTTTAAAAAGGTGATATGTAGACTGAAAATTGAAGACTTAAAAATCACTTTAAACATTTGTTAAGATCCATTCACTAAATAGAAAACAACTAAGAATTATAGATTTTCTTTACTTTTTTACTTGTTTATTATTTTCAGGATTCATTAGGTGAAGTAGTTTCTTCAAAGGAATATAAACTTGATGAAAATAAGCATTTTTCACCAGAAGATTCTCTTGGTGAGAACAAAACAGGTAAGTAAGAAAATTTTTCAGATGAGTTAGATACTTGTATTAACTCTTCATTATATGTGTCAATGTGAAATTCATATAAAAATATTTTCTGGATTTTTTTTTTCCCTAATGTGCCTCCTATTAATATCTTTTTATTTTTTCTCTCTGGCTCTATTTTCTGTGGTCTAGTAGTACAGTGTTTCTGTGGTCTAGTAGTACAGTGTGTTTTGAAAAGCAGGAGACAGGAGATTTTTAGGTCAAAACTATAGATTAAAAAAAAAATGAATACTAAATAACTGTGGCCAAATTACTTGCGCTCTGCAGGTCTGCAGGGTGGGGTAATAAAATCATACCCTGTCTTCTACCCAAAATAGTAGAAAGGAATAAAACAGTTTGTGGTTTTTGTAATTGGGATCAAAGCCTAGTTGTGAGCAGAACTTGCTAAGCCATAGAAATGACCCTACAATCTTGGGGTCTTATCTAGGTCTAGTGCTTGTTAGTTATGTGATCTGGGAAGGGATCCTTAAAGTAAGAGATTTTAAATTCCTCTTAGTTTTGAAACCCTCTCATTAACTTACAGTGACATTGCTAAACAGTATTTACTAAACTGTGAGAATATAAATAAATTAATTAGCCCAGTGTGGTGGTACACACCTGTAATCCCCTGAGTTTTTATTTATTTACTTACAAGTTTTAATTACTTGTCCCTGAGTTCAATCCCCAGTACCAAAAAAAAAAGTGAATGAAAATACTAAAAGTAGATATGTTGGATGAGTGAGAAAATGTCTCATAAAAAGAAATAAAATAAAGGTATAATCTGTAACAATATCCCTTGGAGGATCTAATATACATAGAATAATTGTTCATTATAATTCTGAGACATAAAGTTAAAAACTAGTATTTACTGAGTGCTGAATATGTACTAGATAGTATTTAGTAAAAGTTCTGTGTTCCCCCCTGCCCTGAATTAATAGAAGATATAACAGAAAAATAATGTCTTCTATTTATAATATTCATACATTTTTCTTTTAAAATAAACTACTTGCTGGGCATCGTGGCTCATGCCTGTAATCCCAGCAGTTCAGGAGGCTGAGGCAGAAGGATTGCAAGTTCAAAGCCAGCTTCAGCAAAAGTGAGGTTCTAAGCAGCTCAGTGAGACCCTGCCTCTAAGAAAGATACAAAATAGGGCTGGGAATGTAGCTCAGTGGTCGAGTGCTCCTGAGTTCAATCCCTGGTACTCAAAAAATAAATAACTAAATAAATAAATTACTTGTGGTATATTATCTAAGTCAATTTAAAGAAAAATTTTTAGTGAATAAAGATCTTACAGATAGAAAAGGATATGGCAAAAGTCATAAAAGTATTACACAAATAACTACAGTTTATTACTTAGTAACTAGAGTGTAATATTGTATTCTCTTACAAACCTGGGATATAGATTCTGTTATGCTCATTTTATAAATGAGGAAATGGACTTAGGTTAAGTAACTTACCAGAGTAGATCAGACTTGCCTATCTTAGCCTTATTTGTAGAGCATGAGTGAGCACTGTTTTTCAATGCAAGGTTAAAGTTTGCTTTTTACTAGCATATCAGGGGTACATGATAGCCACATGACATCACTGGTGCCATTAGTCTTTATCACCAGGTTCAGGTCATGTTTGCCAGGTTTCTCCTCTATAACATATTTTTCTTTTTCATACTCTAGTCTTTGAAAGCTACTCACTAAGTCTAGGCTCCCCTTTCAGGAAGCAGTGGGGATTAAAATAACTGTATACTATTTGAAATTCTACTGTAAGGAAGATTTGTTCTTTCTCAATTTGTATATCCAATCACTTAAATAAACTTGTGGATATATGTCATTATATATTCATGAATATTTTACATTTGGGGTTTAAATCCACTACATTATTTATTTTAGGGCTCAAATTATTCATCTTTGGCCATTGGAATCTTTTCAGCGTGGTTCTCTTTGGCATGTCTTATATTTTTGTCTTTTGAGCATTTCCTTTTTTCTAAACATTACAAGATTCTAGGCTCTTGTATTTTCCCTGCCCACCCCAGCACTAGAATCATCAAGTTCTCACACAGAACCCTAGTTACTTTTATTGGAGAATGGTATTTAGAAACCAAGATTTGAGGGCTAGGGATGCAGCACAGTGGTAGAAACCAAGATCTGGACTCTCGTGTGCTTGTTGCTATTAGAGTGTTGTTGTTTCTAGGCCTGCTGAGCAGACAGAACTAGAAAAGATACATACCCATGATTCCATCGTCTCCATCTGTACATATTAGCATGAGTTCATATTGCTATGTCCAACTTTGATCCAGTGCCATAGGGTTTAGTCTACCCTTTTGTATTTTACATTGAGATCTGTGATCCATTTTGAGTTAATTTTTATATAAGATGTGAGTATGTGTGATTTTTTTTTGCATGCAGACATCCAATTCCAGCACTATTTGTTGAAGACTATCCTTTCTCTATTAAATTACCTTTGCCTCCTTGTCAAAAATCAGTTGAATCTATTTGTGGGTCTATTTCTGGTCTCTCTGTTTTGTCCCATCTATTTGTCTCCTTTTGCTAGTACATACTATCTTTATTATGGTTAAGTTTTGAGGTCAAGTAACATGAATATTTTGGTTTTATTAACCTTTAAAATTTTAGGGTTTAATGCTTTGATTTTTATTTGGTAATACAAATTTTTGCCCTTTTTTTCCCTTGCTAGTTTCTCTGGAGTCCGATGTTTATCCCATCTTCAGTGTGTCTTCAGTCAATACAAAAAGGTAGAAATTGTTCTTATTTTGATCCAAGTTTTATTAGTTGTACAAGTCTTTTTTTCTTATGCTACGTAATTTGGAGAGTACTTTTTCTTCACTGTTAAGGGAATAGGAGAATAATATAAAGAACAGGAAATGAAATCAGCTTCTCAGAAGTTTCATAAGATTTTAGAGTTTAGGGATGGAAAAGGTCTTTATAGATTTGAATAATAATAATTGTTAATATTATTATATAATATGGGGCCCATAATAAGTTGTTATATCTATTATCTTCAGAACAAACTAAAAGGTAAATACTGTTATTAATTCCATTTTTTTAGCTGAGGAAATTTTAGTACTTAAACCACAAATTTTAGTACTTAAGCCACAAATTTTAGTGAACAGCACAGTTATTCAGTGCTAGAGCTAGGACTAGAAGACATATCTGAATCAAAATCCCATTAGCCTATATTAACTGCCCTAGATAACAGTAGATTAATAGTCGATAAAATTTTAATGTGCATTTACAACCTCATAATGTAGGAACCATTATTGTCCCATTTATAGATGACTGGCCAGAGGAGTAAGTAACTTGAGACCTTACTGCTATTGTAAATCCTAGCTGAAACTTTTACTGTCCTGTTCAGATCTAAAGACTGCAGTGAGGAAAGCCATGCGTGGGTAGAGAGCGTGATAGGGCAAGAGCTCTGAATAAAGAAGTTTCTTATAGTCTGGACGTCCTCTTCCTAAGCAGCTTTGATGATGAATAACTAGATGTTAAGGAAGGAAATTCCTAGCTAAGTTCTTCTATCTTTAGAGCACCTTACCTTAAATTGCCTCAGATTTGTGTGGGTGAGCAACTTTTCCACATCAAAGGTCATGTTCTTAGTTTTCCTCACCTTTTCCTTTTCTTACCTGCGTTGTCTTCTTTCATGACTCATTGAAGATGGAAGCTTTATCATAATCAGCTGATAAAAGTAATTTAATCTAGCAAGAAGAGTTACTGGGATACTCTTGATTGAATCATGTGAAATTACTTTTTTGGTAGGCTCCAAAATGTCAGATTTCAGCAATTACTTATAGATTAATCTATTTTACTTCAGGTAGATTATAGATTCTCCAGGTACATAGTCTCACATTATTGTCTTTTTATTTTTGTTTTATTTGTTCATTTAACAAACACTTAGAAAGATTCTACTATGTGTCATTGAACTTATTCTGAGTTCTGGAGATGTAAAGATAAATATGGTCCTGCTATCAAGGAAATTATGGTTGTAAGAGAAAAAGCATTGAAACAAATAAATATAATAAGGTCAATAAATACATACAATAGATATAATACAGTTCCTAAGACAAAAGTGAAGAGATTGCAATCATGCACGAAGGGCCAAGGAGAACTACATAGCAAAGGTTTTATAAGGCCCAAGGGCCACTAACCTCATTGACCTAGTAAATGTTTTTCATATTGTGGGTAGCAACCAATTTAGTCTTTTGTCACACCCTCTTAAGAGTGTCATATCCAGCATTTTTTAACTAGAATGCTGTATCTCTATAGCGAGTGTATTTAGTGAAACTCTTTTAGCTGTGTGTCTGTACTGATTGTAACGTAAAATTAATTTGTTAGTATAGGTTTGTCACAATCAGTTTGAAAACCTTACCTTTTCAAATGATAACAAGATAGCTTGACTGAAATAAGCATTAAATAGTTTTTTTTTTTTTCCATTTTCTTATTTGTCAATTTTTTTGTTTCAACATTTTTGCTTTGGGCATTTCTTTTTTTTCCCCTCTTACAATTTACTTTTACTTCTCTCTGACAATTTCTATACCTTTTGGTCCCTGGAAAACCAGAATCCTTTCATTAAAAGGCAAGGATTACAAACTCAATACCTATAGACCTTGCCAGGCTGGGCAGGAATCTGGACCAACTGGAAAATGCATGCCTCATTTGAAAGTACAAGTGCTATTTGATTCCAGCTAGTAGGGTTTTTCTTTTCTTCTCTTTTAATTTTGGGGATTGAACGTAGGAATGCTTTACCACTAAGCTATATCCGCAACCCTTTTTGTTTTATTGAAATAGGGTCTCCCCAAGTTATTGAGAGCCTCGCTAAATTGCTGAGGTTGACTTTGAAATTGCCATTTCCTGCCTCAGCTTGAGTCACTGGGATCTCAGGCATGTACCACCACACCCAGCCTAGTATATTCTTTAAAGGAATAGAGAACTAGTGATCTTTTAGTATCTCTTAAATATTGGGAATATACATTTTAAGTGAATTATCTAGATTTTAAAATACTGGTGGCTAATCCAAAGCTTTGAATACCATATGAAACAACCAAAATGTATCTATCTGGTTGTGGGATTTAGTCTAAGGGCCTTATGAGCCAAATCCCAACATTCTTCCTAGTGCTTAAAGATAGCTTCATTACATTTATCTAAAAATAAAATTTCTTTTTCTTTAAAATTTCCAAGTACTGGGATACTGCTCTCGGCATGAGGAAGAGTACCCAAGTAAAAGTTGTTGGATCCTAATACATTGGTGATTCTGTTTGCTTGTTGGTTCATGAGATTCAGTTTTAGTATCCACTTATTTGCTCTGGTACCCCAGGGATTTCTTTATTCTTACATGGGTAAGTATTAGGGTTTGATAAAGCAAGGTGAAGTTAATTTCCAAAGTGATTCTCCAATGGCATCTGATACTGGTGAGAAAAGTTCCTTGGGCTTGATGTTAGAAACCAAGATTTAAGTCTTAAAACTTCCACTTCTTGTTCTGTTCCCTGGAGTGCATTACTGACCCTCATAGTTCTCATCTTTATGTAATATTTATCAACCTACCATTTGAAGATCTCTCGCTGAAGAACAGTCTTCTGTGGGATCCATCAGCTGTACTGATTTCTTGAAACAGACCAACACACAGAAAAATCTGAATACCAGAGATACAAATAAAGAAACAAATGCCCAGCTCATCATTGTGAGTAGATTTGAAACAAAGCTTCTCACATGTGGCTTTTGCATGTATAACATAAAGTTATACTTTTGTCTTAGCATAGTAAATTGGGTTATAGATATTCTGAATTTTGTAAATGTCAATTTTGTTCTAGTGGTAACATTTATGCTTGTCAATAAACTTGAACTGATAGTGTTGGGCAATGCTAGTATTTTAGTAGAAGGCTGATGAATGAGTTGTTTCCAATTAAGAAAAATTGTTGATCAACAAAAAATTTAATAGGAATAGGTACGTTGAGTTAGATCTTGGCTTGGCAAACTGGTCACAGGCCATGACCTGTGAACTAAAAGTAGTTGTTCCATTTTTATAGGTTTGGAAAAAGAGTATGTAATAAACCATATGTGTCCTGAAAGATCTAAAATATTTATATCTGATGTTGTCATAGAGAAAGTTTGCCAAGAGTGCCCCTATATTTAATCCCCAGTATTGAAAAAAGAAAAAAATTTCATTGTTCATTTTAGCTACGTTCTGTAACTTAATCTTACTCCTTAGAACTATTGAGTCTAGTAAAGAATCATGTGTTTTTTACACTGTCCACTCAAAGAGAAAATTTTGTTACTTTGTTGAGATTATTGGGTTTTTAGGTCTCTTCATCTATTTTGCTTTCTTCCCCTGCTTCTATTGCAGGATGCAGGTCAGAAACATTTTGGTGCTACTATTTGTAAATCTTGTGGCATGATCTATACTGCTTCCAACCCTGAAGATGAAATGCAGCATGTCCAGTATCACCACAGATTTCTGGAAGGAATCAAATATACAGTGAGTCAAAGATACTCTTTTCAATTTGTTCTGAAAGTAAACTGGTTTGAAAGAGACATTTCTGTTCATTAAATATTGAAAGGCCTATATGTCAATAAATATTTCATTGTCTACAGTTTTCTTATCTGTAAAATTTGAGAGACTGGCACTATTAAAAAGTTAGTTGTTGTTTTTTTTTTTTCCCAGTGCTAGGAATTGAATCTAGGGCTTTATGTGTGGTAGAGAGACATGCTATCACTGAGCTACATCCCACTCTTAAAGTTAGCTTTTAATAGTACAGTTTCAAATTCATAATACCAGTCTAATGTGAGCATTGTCCTGGGTAGAAAAAGCACTTTATATCCTTATCCCTGACTACTGAGCAGAGTTCAACAGTCAAGATATAAAACTTGAGGAGAGCCCCTCTCCCTCTTCATGTAGCAATTTCTTCTATATAGAAAACCTTGGTAAAATAGCCTTCCACAACTTCTCCAGGCTTTTTTCCCTCTTTTTTTTTTTTTTAATATGTATTTATTTTTTAGTTCTCGGCAGACACAACATCTTTGTTGGTATGTGGTGCTGAGGATCGAACCCGGGCCGCACGCATGCCAGGCAAGCGCGCTACCGCTTGAGCCACATCCCCAGCCCCTTTTTTCCCTCTTGAGATGGCAATTTCACCTCTTTATGAAGCATCTTTGTAGTTCAAACACATCCTATCTTCGGCTTCATCTTTGTGATTGTACCCACTACTAGTCAAATGCGAGTGCCGCCACTACCCTGACACACAATAGTTCGTGCTTTTATGATAATTTTAGGTTATTTGTTGTCATTGGGATTTGGGGCAGGAGGAACTCTGGGGGAGCTGGGTTTATTGAAACAGCTTCCTCCCTGAGATTCCATAGTCCTCCTACTGCTCTGTTGCCTTTTTTCCTTTCCCCCCAGAAACCCAGGGTTGCTCTACCTCTGAGCAACATCCCTTGCCCTTTTTGTTTTTTTTTTTTTTTTTTTGAGATAGTCCTGATAAGTTGCAGAGTTTGGCCTCAAACTTGTGATTCTCCTTCCTTGGTTCCTTGGCTTCCCACGTTGCTGGGTGTACAGGTGTGCACCACCACACTGGCCCAGAATAGTTTAATGCATAGATTTATATGATTCTTCATACTTTTAGAAAAAGAAAATTCCCACCAGCAGTTAATTCCCACCAGCAGTTAGGTGCTCCTTAACCTGGCTTTAGCTTTTCCTATACATGTGTATATAATATATAACGGAGAATGTGTGTAGGTGTGCATCTATATATCTTTCTCTATATATGTTTAAATTCTTGCCCTCTATAATCTGCTCTCTATACATTAGCCAGAGGATTCTTTTCTAAAAATAAGTAAAAGTCCATCTTTTTCTACTTCAAATTTAATAACCTCCCCTTACACTAGGAATAAAACTGAAATTCTTTACCATGGTCACCAAAACCCTTCATAATCTGCGCCCCCCCCCCCCCCAACAACATCATTGCACAGAATATTTTCCCTTGAGCTCTAAGCTCCATTTTCTGAACAAATTAAATTCTTTTGATGAGGACTAAGTACTGTCTATATCAGGTTGTTTTCTTTAATTTATCAGAGCATACTAGGTATGTTAATCCTTATTTATTTTGTGAGTTATTTCTGTGTTACAAATTTCCCTGTTTCTTTAATATATGTTTTTTGGGTTTTTTTTGGTGGGGGGTGGGTACCAGGGATTGAACCCAGGGGCACTTGACCACTGAGCCACATCCCCAGCCCTATTTTGTATTTTATTTAGAGACAGGGTCTCACTGAGTTGCTTAGCACCTTGCTTTTGCTGAGGCTAGCTTTGAATTTTGTAATCCTCCTGCCTCAGCCTCCCAAGCCACTGGGATTACAGATATGTGCCACCATGACTAGCTCAACTATGTTTTTGATATAGTAATAATTTCACATGGTTCAAAATTTACAAGATAAAAAGTCTATTTGTTGAACAGTATTTCTTCCTAGTCCTAGGTACACTGGTCCCCTATCTGCAGGGGTCCAACATTGACAATTTCATCTGTATATCTTCCAGAGGTAATTTTTGCATATATAAGAAAATATTATTACTTGATTTTATTTGTGACCTGCATTTCTTAAGTCAGAAATGTCCTTCTCAGCTAGGTGCAGTGGCACATGCCTGTAATCCCAGTGGTTTGGAAGGCTGAGGCAGGAGGATTGGGAGTTCAAAGCCAGCCTCAGCAAAAGCAAGGTGCTAAGCAACTCAGTGAGACCCTGTCTCTAAATAAAATATAAAATAGGTCTGGGGATATGGCTCAGTAGCTGAGTGCCCCTGAGTTCAATCCCCAGTGACCAAAAAATAAGGAATGTCATTGTCAGTTCCAAGATTCATAAAAAGATTTTCCTATATTTTCTTAAAATACTTATATTACTATAAATTCTATATTCAAATTTTTAATCCATTGGGAATGTGTAAGACATTGCATTAAAGATGAATCTTAACTTACCTTTGTTTCTTAGGATTGCTAAGTGTGCCAATTATTATTGTTAAGTTAGTTCATGTTTCCCACTAATTGCCAATGCCACCTTTAATCTATACTAAATTCCAGTATATAAATGATCTGTTAGTAGTGATCTTGTACTAGTCCTATACTCTTTAAAATGTAGTTTCATACCGTGGATGTCTGGCCAGGTAAGTGTTTTTTATTCTTTAAAAATGTCATCTTTTCCTACACATTTCCTCTTCGAAATTATAAAATGGGCCTATTATCAGGTTATTCCCAAATAAAAAAATCTTTTGAGATTTTGACTGAAATTGGTAAACTAATGCTGTTTTCTTGTGGTTAGTCCTCCACTTTAGGAACTTAGTGTCCCTTTCTATTGATTCATGTCTTTTATATCTTTCAGGAAGGTTTTATAGTTTTCTGCATGTGGATCTTTAATTAAATTTATCCTAAATATTCTACTCTCAGTCACAACACTGCTGTTTTCTGTTCTACATCTGATGTTGTCATAGAGAAAGTTTGCCAATCATTATATTAGACAATTTAGAGCCTTGGATTTTCAATGACATTAAACAGTACCTTTGTTTATTTGGTTAGTGATCTTACCTTGAAATGGCCACCCTCCCCATTATGCTTACTGAAATCTTAATGAAGGTTCAAAAAAAAAAAAACATGTCAAGTGCCTCATAGCTTTAACAACACTGTTGAGATAGACGCTGGGTCCACATGCTAAAGCACTGCTGGAGATTAAGACTGAAGTGTGTAACCCTCTGGTCTTGTCAAGCAAAAGGGCAGAAAAAGACATTGTTGTGCATATGTGAGAAAGGAAGATAGGATTCACTGAGGGAGTATGTGTAAGACATATGACTAGCACTATGCACCCTGTAATGTTCTACACACTACATATGTTTATCTATATAAAATGTATGTATACTATCATTTTAGCCTTTTTTATCTCTATTTCCTAAATTTTATCTTTCTCTCCTAAATTTATACCCTTACAGGGATGGGGGCAGAACCACTTAGGTGGAAATGTAAGGATGGGAAATTCCTGATCTAAAAAGTGGCCTCTGCAGCTCAGTGAAGTGCTGGTGTCCCTTTCTACAAAGCTAACTAAGATGCATTGGGTGAGATCTGTGCTGAGCTGCTGATAGGAGAAAGCACTTGAACTTGAGCCTTTATTGTCTAGATTTGTCTTTCCTCGGTCCAGTAGACTCTTATTAAACCTTCCCTTAGAAGTCAGCTTAGCCTACTGCCCATGTGCCCACCCTGAGTGATTGGGCATTTCTTTCTCTGATCCCATCAAGAGCTCTCATTTGGCTTTGCTTTTAGTTCTAACAAATAATATTCATGTCTCCCAACAGAGTATCAGCCCATTGAGGTCACTTGTTGTAAGCATCTTTCATTTGAGTATGTTACTTTTAATTAGATTTAATCCTTTTTTATATCATTTGATATTTGGCATTCTATCCTCTGGGTCAAACTATTTAATATCTTTTGTTTTCACAAATTAATTTTTTTTTTTCTCCCTTTGACAGGGCTGGAAAAAAGAACGTGTAGTAGCAGAGTTTTGGGATGGGAAGATTGTATTGGTCCTGCCACATGATCCAGCTTATGCTCTCAGAAAGGTGTGGAACATTCTCTTTTTAATCCTTATTCTTCCCTCACTTCCCACACAGTTAATCTCTGTTGAAGTGTGAACCACTTTGCTGGTGGGTAAGCCTCTTTGGTACATGCTTCACCCATTATGTTCCATTGTCCCACTTATGGAACTCCTAAAAAACCTGAGTTGAGTGCAAATATACACCTATGATAGCTTTGAAATAAATTTATGTTTTTAGAGTTCTATTCCTTTGAGAAAAGTAATAGGTGTACGATTAGTGATAATATTCATTAGTATTACTGATATTAATATTATTGTTAATAAATTATATAATAAACTCTAGATTATGATTTCCAACCTATTTTAATGCGTCTGTATCATTTTCATTGAAATGGTCACAGAATGTAAACTTGGGATTTCATAGGTTAAAAATGACCTTAGTAGGGGTTTATACAAGATAACTAAAGGAATGTCAGTTCGAATTAAAGAAACCACATAAGGTTCTACAACTTATCTCTTATCTTCATCATCTACTTGTGAAAAATTAACTAAGCTTTTCAGTGTTGAAATTAATGGCCCCAAGTCTGTTTCTTATGTTGTTATTACCAGTTTTTCTTGGGTTGGTGTTGGCCAATACAAAAAATGAATAAAGCTAAAACAAATCTGTTTGGGTGTTTCCTACTTCCTATTTCCCCCAGAATTCTGAACTTCTGCTGAAAGTGGTTTTTAAATAGGTTCTTAAAGCCCTATTGCTAAAGTACCAGACATGAATTGATAGTAAAATTTTGAGAGGGTATAAATTTAGGAGAGAAAGATAAAATTTAGGAAATAGAGATAAAAAAGGCTAAAATGATAGTAAACATACATTTTATATAGATAAACATATGTAGTTTATTGTACTTTTTAAAACAAATTCGCCTTTTTGATTGTTAACACCATTAGGTAGAAGATGTCCAAGAACTTGTTGATCATGAATTGGGCTTCCAGCAAGTTGTTCCCAAATGTCCCAACAAAACCAAAACTTTCCTCTTTGTATCTGATGAAAAGAGAGTCGTTGGGTGTTTAGTTGCAGAGCCCATCAAACAGGTATGGTATATCTTAAATTACTGGCATAATTTTTGAGCAAAATAAAGTAGTTGGGAGAAGTCTCTAAGCATTTCAACTGCTACCTGATTTTTCCTATTAAAAATTTCCTTGACCATGGGGATAAATGAAGTTATTTACATTATATTTGTCATTTGCCTTATATAAGCAGGGTAAGTAAGTATATCCATGTAGTCATTACCATACTGGATAAAGTATAGTGGTTTTAGATAAGCAAATATGTAGACCCAAGTTATTACCTGTCCCTTAATTAGAATATATTTGTATTTTTTTTGTAATTTATTCTTTTTTCTGTGGTGCTTAGGATCAAACCTAGTGCCTTACTCATGCTACCAGCTGCTCTACCATTGAGCGACAACCCCAGCCCCTTAATTAGAATCTTTAGATACTGAGTAGCAGTGTTCCAGAAAACATATAGTCTCTCTTTGTGTTAGATATTTTTAGAAAAATGGCTGGTTTATATTCTTTCTTTCCCTCCATCAGCTTTATTAAGATATATCTAACAAATGAAAAATGTATATATTTACAACATATAATTTGATGTTTTGAGAGATGAACAGTTTACGAAATTGCTGAATCAAGCCAATTAACTTCATCACCTCACTTATGTTTTCGTGAGAGCATTCAGTATCTGCTTACTTTGCTATTTTCAGGTGTACATTAAGTACATGCAACATGATATACCATAGATCTTCAGAACTTACTCATCTTGTCTAAATCAAACTTTGTGCCCTTTGACTACATTTCCCATCCCCTACCACTTAGCCCCTGGCAACCACCATTCTACTCTGCTTCTGTGAACTTTTTTAGATTCTACATTAAATTAGATCATACATATCTGTCTTTCTGTGCTTGACTGATTTTACTCAGCATAATATCCTCTGGATTCATTCATGTTGTCACAAATGACAGGATTTCATCTTGGTTTATGGCTGAGTAGTATTCCAATGTGTGTGTGTGCGTGCCACATTTTCTTTCCTTATTCATTCATTAATGGACACATAGGTTGATTCTATGTCTTGGCCTGGTATGCGTAAAGCTGTGGTTCAGAAATCTCAGGATACAGATATCTCTTGATGTATGGTTTTTATTTCATTTAGGTATGTACCCAGAAATGGGATCACTTCATGGTAGTCCTTTTTTTTCCTGTTTGAGATCTCTATACTCTTTTCTGTAGTGGCTATAATAGTTTACATTCCCTCCAGCAGTGAACATGTTTTCTTTTCTCCAAATCTTCATCAGCACGTATTATCTTTTGTCTTGTATATATACGTGGCTGTGTGGTACTGAGAGTCAAATTGATGGGTGTTCTATTACTAAGCTACTTTTTTTTTTTTTTTTTTTTGAAACGGTCTCACTAACTTGATGAGGCCAGGCTTAAACTTGCAATCCTCCTTCCTGCTTCAGTTTCCCAAGTAAATGGGGTTACAGGTGTGGGCCACCATGACCCGCATCTTTTTGTCTTTTTTATAATCATTTAACAGGTATGAATATGGTTTTAGTTTGCATTGCCCTGATGATTAGTGATGTTGAATATTCATATATCTGCTGGCTATTTGTATGTCTTTTCAGAAATACCTGTTTAGTTCTTGTCCCATTTTATAATTAGTTTATTATAAGTTTTTAATGCATTTTGAGTTGACTCATACTGTGTAAGATAAGAGTCTGGTTTCATTCTACTGCATGTTTGTATCCAGTTTTCCCAGCATCATCTATTGAAGAGACTGTCATTTCTCCATTGTATGTTCTTGGCACTTTTGTTGAGATCATTTGACTGTGAATGCCTGGATTTATTTTGGGGTACGTTGTTGTGTTCCATTAGTTTGGGTGCCTTTTTTTTTTTGTTTTTTTTTTTTGATATATATTTTAATTGTCAATGGATCTTTTATTTATGTGCGGTGCTGAGGATCGAACCCAGGGCCTCAAACAGGCTAGGCAAGTGCTCTACCACTGAGCCACAGTTCCAGCCAGCCCTGGGTGCCTTTTTTTTTATGCCAGTATATTATTCTGTTTTGATTACTGTAATTTTGTAGTAGTATATATCAAGATCTGGTAGTATGATACCTCTCACTGCCCTTTTTACTCAAAGGTTGCTTTGGCTATTCAGGGTCTTTTTTGGTTCCTTGTGAATCTTAGGGTGCTTTCTCTGTGAAAAATGCTATTGGAAATTTTGATAGGGATTGCACTGAATCTGGATCGCTTTTAGCAATATAGATATTTTAATAATTTTCAAATTCATAAACATGAGATATCTTTCCACTTATGTGCGTCCTCTCTAATTTTTTTCATTAGTGTTTTGTAGTTTTTGGTATATAGTTCTTTTACTCCCATGTTTAAATTTATTCCTAAGTATTATAGTTTTATTGATATCATTGTATATGGGATTGTTTATTCTTTTTTTTTAAATAGTTATTGTAAAGAGATGCTACTGATTTTAGCATGTTGATTTTGTGTGTAGTAATTTCACACTGAAATTATTTATCAGTGTTTTGGAGAAGTCTTTAAGGTTTTTCTATATATAAGATCATGTTGTCTGCAAACAGAAATAACTTCTTTTGATTTGGATGTCTTTATTTTTTCTGCCTAATTGTTCTGCCTAAAACTTCCAGTACTAGGTAGAAAAGAAGTCGAAAGGGCTGGGGATGTGGATCAAGTGGTAGCATGCTCGCCTGGCATGCTCAGGGCGCTGGGTTTGATCCTCAGCACCACATAAAAATAAAATAAAGATGTTGTGTCCGTGAAAAAACTGAAAAATAAATATTAAAAAATTCTCTCTCTCTTAAAAAAAAAAAAAAAAAAACCTGTGGTACATCCATACAATGGAATGTTCCTTAGCAATTAAAAAGAGTACACTATTGACATGTGTAACCATGGGTTGGGTCTCAAAGGTATTAGGCTGGGTTAAAAAAGCCAATCTCAAAAGGTCACATGCTGTATGATTCCACTTATATGGCATTCTCAAAATAACAGTTATAGAGATGGAGAACAGATTAGTGGATGCTAGGAATGAGTGAGGCATGTGGAAGGGAAAAGTAGATATGATTCTACAGAGTTACAAAGAGGAACACTTGTGGCGATGCAGTAGTTCTGTGTATTGATTGTGGTGGTGGCTAAATGAATATAATATCCTTGAAATGGAATAGATATTCACACATTGGGATTAGCAAGGATGGTGGAATGTGATACACATCATCATCCAAAGTACATGTATGAAGACAGGAATTATTGTCAACATACTTTATACACAACCAGAGATATGAAAAATTGTGCTGTATACATGTAATAAGAATTGTAATGCATCACTGTTAATTTCTTGGTTATGGAAGATGTAACCATTAGGGGAAATAGGGTGAAGGATACATAAGTCCTCTTTATATAGCTGTTTCATCTTCTTGTGGATCTCTATTTTCAAATAAAAAGTTTTTTAAAATTTAAATAGTAACCAAATTTCAGAGTTAACACGTGAAAATCTTCAATTCTTTAGGCTATCATATATACATTTTAGCATGGAGAGGATTGGGAAAATTTATGTGCTTCAGAAATTTGAATTTTACAGAGCTTTTAATCAAAAAGAAGGAATTTTCATGCAAGTATTGTGACTTAAATGGAGAGGAATTTAACACATTCAAATGATTTAAATATTTTTGATGGAGACATGATTAACTTCATATCATTAGGGTTGTTTTGGTATACTTAGGAATTTTTTTTATTTTAGTTTTATAAAAATGTTTTTGGAACTGAGGATTGAATTCAGGAGTGCTTAACCACTGAGCCACATCCTCGGCTCTTTTTTATATTTTATTTAGAGATGGTCTCACTGAATTGCTAAGTGCCTCACCAAGTTGCTGAGGCTGGCTTTGAACTCATAATCCTCCTGCCTCAGCCTCCTAAGATGCTGGGATTACAGTTATGCACCACCATGCCTGGGGAGGAGGAGGTTTTTCTTTTTTTTTAAAAGAAATGTAAGCTCATCTATTTTTAGTTATAGATGCTTTTGTATATCATTGTAGGCCTTCCGTCTCTTGTCTGAACCAAGTGGCCCAGAATCCTCAAACTCTAAAGAATGTCCCAGAGCTTGGCAATGTTCAAATGTTCCTGAACCTGCAGTCTGTGGGATAAGTAGAATCTGGGTTTTCAGACTGCAGAGAAGAAAGCGCATTGCAAGACGACTGGTGGATACTGTCAGGTAAGAAAAACATAAACTGAATCTTAACTTTGAACCTTGGATTCTTAACTTTCCTAGAACAAGGAAATACTGGCTCATGAACCAGAAGGAAGGATGTTGGTAAAACATTTCTCATTATACTATCAAAGTCAGGTTACATCAAGTAACCTGGGAAAAAATACTAGATACTCAACATTCCAGGCTAGTTCTTTTTAAACTCCCTATGATAAAGGACTAGTTTGATATATCACAGACCCAAGACTATATAAAATAAAAATCGATTGCTAGAAAAATGAAATGGAAAAACAAAATTAGAAAATATGGGCTGGGGTGTCGTTTAGTGTTGAAGAGTACTTGCCTAGCATGCATAGGCCCTAGGTTCAGTCCCTGGTACTGACTGAATAAAGGAAGAAAATACAAGATCAAATTTTTATCAGATTCAATTGATACAAAATCATATTTCAATAAATATAGTTGATATAAACAAAATGTAAATTTTAAAACATACAGAAGTTGCATATGTTTATTGACTACATGTGTCTAGGTAATTAATAACTATAACTAAACTAATTTATAACTGTGATTAATAACTATAACTAAAGTTATAACTAAAAAGGGAATTAGCAAGACAACCCACAAAATGAGAGGGAAAAAGTTGCAATTCTTTTCTCTACTCAGGATCTATTATCCAGCATATAAAAAGAATTCTTACCATGCAACAATGAAAAGGCAGTTTAAAAACGGGTCAAAGATTCCAATAGACATTTCTTCAAAGAAGAAATACGAATAGTTGATAAGAATGTAGAAAGATACTTAACATCTGAGAAGTCGCAAAACCCAAAGCACTGAAATACCACTGCACACCCTCTAGGAAGGCTCTCTTAAAAAGGAAAATAAGTGTTGGTGACAATGTGGAGGAAGTTGGAACCCTGGTGCATTGCTGGTAGGAATGTAAGGTAATGCAGCTGCTGTGGAATACAGTGGCAGTTTCTCAAAAAGTTCAATTATTATGACCAAGCAATTCTCCTGGGTATATGCTCAAGAGAAATGAAAGCATATGTCCACACAAAACCATGTATGGGAAGGTTTATAACAGCATTATTCATAATAGCCAAATAAGTATAAACAACGAAATCAGTGGGGAACTAAGCATATCCCATACAATAACAATGCAGTATTTATTAGCAACCATGGAAAGGAGTGAAGTAACTGGTTCATGGTACAACGTGGGTGAACCTTGAAAACATCGTGTTGATTGTTTTCTGAACTTTATATTATAGGTACACAAAAGGGCCAGAATAGGCAAATCGACAGAGACATCAAATATTCTTGGTTTATAGGGACTAAGGGAAGAGTGAATGGAGAATGTATACAAATGGATATAGGGGGATAAAAAATGACCTGGAATTATATAGTGGTGATAAATAATTTTGTGACTACAGAAACCCGAGTTGTCTTTTTGTACCGGGGAGTAAACTTCTGAGCCACATCCTCAGCCCTATTCTGTATTTTTTTTAATTTAGCAACAGAGTCTCACTGAATTGCTTTGTGCCTCACTGTTGCTGAGGCTAGCTTTGAACTTTGAACTTTCAATTCTTCTGTCTCAGCCTCCCAAGCTGCTGGGATTACAGGCATGCGCCACTATGCCCGGCTCATAGTTATATATTTTTAAAGTATGAGACTTAATGGTATATGAATTATACCTCAATAAAAGATTAAATTAGTGATTCTCCATTCTGAATTGTGCAAACCCTTTAACCCTGCAAATTGATATTTAAGGTTTTAACATGACGGACTAGGTTTATTGTTAATTTACCTAATCTGGATAAGAAGGATGAATTTCAAAACATTTTCTTCTACATATATCTCATGGATAGATAGCAGATTAAAAACCAACAACCACACTTTGAAGAGCTTTATTCAAACCTTTTGAGTTTTATGCTGCTTTTTAAATTTAAATTTTTAAATTTTTGGTATCAGGGATTGAACCCAGGTCCTTTTTATTTTTTGTTTTCAGACAGGGTCTTTCTAAGTTGTTGAGCCTTTTCTCAAACTTGCAATCCTCCTGCCTCAGCCTTCCACATTGCTGGGATTACAGGTGTGGGCCAGTGTCCCTGGTCTGAGTACTATGCCACTTTTAAGGAATGAAAAGCAGACCACTATGATGATTCCATCATGGGCCATAATCCTAGTCTACCACACATATTTATAGAAGGATCAGTTAGAAAATTGGGTGTCTATAATAATTTTGATAGTTGCAAACCAATGATTTTCCTATACAGGTTAAGGAAACCTAATCTAAAATCTGAAATCCTCTAAATCTGAAACTTTTTACAGTAAAAAGTAATATCTGAAAAGTTTTAGATTTGGGAGCATTTTAGATTTCAGGTTTTTGGATTAGGGTTGCTCAACAATATCTGCAAATATTCTATAATCCAGAAACATGAAATCTGAACTACCTCTGGTCCCAAGCACTTCAGATAAGGGATATTCAACCTGTATTTTATATTAAGTGATAGATAAATTGGATATGAGGAATACCAAAATCAAACCTGCCTCCACTGCACAATAGTCTAATGCTTTTAACTTTCAACATCCATATGAATTGCCTGGGAATGTTAAAATGCAGACTATAATTCAGTAGGTATGGAGTGGGGCCTGATATTCTGCATTCTTAGTAAGCCTTTGGGTGATGCTAAATGTTGCTGGTCTGCAGATCATACTTTGAGTAACAAGGCAATGTTGTCTATAAGGAATACTGAATAAAAATGAAATGCCCTAAAGAGTTTGCTATACATTTAAAAAAAAAAAAATGAAATGCCCTCATAGGAGCTAGAAAACATTCATTTGGAAAAATATCTTTTCTCATATCTGAATTGAAGTTATAAATAACATATTTGATAGTTTTGCATGTAAAAAAGCCTCAGACTGAATTCTCTCATCTATACAGGTGACAATATGTTTGAGTCCTGACAGAAGTTTAGCAATAAATTTTGTGTTCAATTATAGTTAAGTGTACTAAATGCTTACATATTCTAATTGAATCTAATTAATTTTTTTTTTCATTCTGAAATAAAAGTATCAAGAATAGTGAAAAGAACCCTTGTATATTTTTAATTTTTTTTTCATTTTGGTACTGAGGATTGAACCCAGGGACACTATACCATTGAGCTACACCCCCAACCCAACCCTGTTTAGTTTTTTAAATTTTTTAGCTTTGAGACAGGGTCTCCCTAAATTGCTAAGGTTGGTCTAGAACTTGGAATCCCCTGGCTTCAACCTCCTGAGTTGCTGGTATAGGCATCTCCCACCACACCTGTTCCCCCTCATATACCTTTGCTCAGATTCATCAAGTTATTATTTTACCACATTTGCTTTTCCAGATGTATCTGGTTGTTTTGTTTTGGCAGTGGGAATCAAACCCAGAGCCTGATTGATACATGTTTGATCAGCATTCTACCACTGAACTGCTTTCCCAGCTCTTTTTATTTTTAGACAATGTCTTGCTAAGTAACTTGCCCATCCTCCTGCCTCAGCCTGCCACATAACTAGAATTACAGGTTTATACTCCTGCACCTGGCTAGAAGATGTAATGTTGATAGTCCATGTTTCAGTTTCAACGGTTGTTTCAAATGTCCTTCACTGTGGCATATACTTCTCTTTGTCTGGGATCACATTGCATTTGGTTATCATGTTTCTTTAATCATCATCTTTCTTAATCCTGGAAGTTTCTCAGCCCTCCTTTGTCTTTTATGACATTGAAGAATTGAAAAGTATAGGCCAGTTATTTTATAGAACATTCCTTAATGTGGTTGAACTCTTTAATCATTTTTACTTTTAATCTTAGTTGAGCAGGATCCGAAAGAGTTGTACTCAATGTGCAGATTTGTTTTTGCTTTCTCAAAGCTCTCTATTGTACATTTTAGTTGAGAAAAATAGTAACTCTTAAAATTGGTGATGGTTATTTGTATTTTTTATTTTAATTATATGTGGCTTTTAATTAGCACTAGCAATCTCACATTAGTTGTTCATTGTTAGGGACAGCCAAAAGTCAGCTCTGTTTTTATGTGGTTCCCTTTGCTTCTCAGAATTTTTTCTGGACCTATTTTCTCATCTTTGAAATACATCTCTGAAATCTAAGGCATTTTCTCGCTTAGCAGAAATAAGGTTGATTTGATCAAGAGTATTTACTCAAATTGTACTAGTGTTTAATCAGAATACTAAGTTGCTTCCATTGTTAAATTATCTTTTTCTCTTTTTTTAGGAATTGCTTCATGTTTGGCTGTTTTCTCAGCACCAATGAAATAGCATTTTCTGACCCAACACCAGATGGCAAGTTATTTGCAACCAAGTACTGTAATACCCCTAATTTCCTTGTGTACAATTTTAATAGTTAAGACCAACTATAAAAGCAGTTACTACATGGATAAATTCACATAGCTTCTTATCATACAATATAAATTAATATCAAAGTAAGAAATGCCCAGACACACACACACACACCCCTATACCTCATAGTTTTGTTTCTTGTGTGTTGAAAATCCAGGGATAAATTTGGTGAAAATTATCTGGGAATTAAAAGAAAGGAAAAATCTTTGGATAATATACTTAGCACTCTGAGTCTTTAATTATGAAACTTTATAACTGGCCTCCATAAGAATATTGACCACCTTATTTTGGTGGTTTTCTGCAGATGTGGGGCCAGTTATCTTTTATAAAGCAGTACTCTTTTAGTCCAGGATTATATCATACTACATCAGAAGGAAAGAGGCAAATCTAAATCCAGGCAAGTAATTTACATACCCAATTTTTTAAGGTGGAATTTCTGACTTCTCCTCAGAATTCTCACTTTACAAGCATTTATCTGTAGCAACTCAGCTAAATGGAGCATTTTTAATTTCTTGTTAGAAAAGATGGTAAGGAATGAGTAAGATATCCTGTACTCATTTATGTAGAACATAATTCCATATCTTACTGTTTTAATCTTTGAAAATCAAATGCACATTTTTCATCACACTGAATCAAAATTATACTTAGTGACTACACTATTGTAATTTTTGTTGAATAAAAATGCAGGTACTGCCATACTGCCAGGCGTGGTGGTGAATGCCTACAACCTCAGCAGCTTGGGAGGCTGAGCCAGAGATTGCAAGTTCAAGACCAGGCTCAACAATTTAGTGAGACCCTGTCTCAAAAAAAGGTTGGAGATGTTGTTCATTGGTTAAGCACCTCTGGGTTTAATCCCTGGTACCAAAAGAAAGAAAATGCGGGTACTGGTACTTAACTTTAGGGAACTTGTTTCTGGTAATTGAAGTTATTAACATAATCGATCCTAGTTGGATTAGATGATTATTTTGGTTTCACTTTTTTTGTTTATTTTTTGTTTGTTTCACTTGTCCTCACTCAGATATCTGGCAAAAGCCTCTTCAAAATTTGTGGTAACAGAATCAAGGTTTATAAATATATCTGAGCTGGTGGACCAGAGAACATGTCAACGTTATGAAAATACCACACACTTAAATGGACACACTTTTTTTTTTTCTTTTTTGGTGGGGGAGGGGTTACTGACCACTGAGCCACATCCCCAGATCTATTTTGTATCTTATTCAGAGACAGGGTCTCACTTATGCTGAGGCTGGCTTTGAATTTGCCATCCTCCTGCCTCAACCTCCAAAGCTGCTGGAGATTGCAGGTGTGTGCCACTGTACCCAGCATGTGCACACATTTTTGTAGTATTATTCTTGAATACATAAGTGAAAAGCAAAAAACTATTCAGATTGTTTTGATTCTTAAAAATCATTGAACTGGTATCTGACCATAAGAATTTGAGGAAGTACTTTTCCAATTTGTGTAAAATTTGTTAGTCTACAATTTTTATTTGCCTGTAAGTTAACACGGTTCCAAATTCTAAAACCTGGGTTCCAAAAGTAATTACAAAAACATTTTAATGCTATTTTCTGCACTGCTGATTTTTAAAAATTCTTTTAAAATATTTTATTTAAAAATTTTTATTAACATGATTTTATTTGCTCAGTGCTTCCCCCGCCCCTCCCTTTTGCTGGTGCTGGGGATTGAATCCAGGGCTTTGTGCATGCTAGGCAAGCACTCTTATCAATTTAGCTATATCCCCAGCCCTGCTGCTTGTGTGATGAATCAGATAAAATTATTAACATTCCATTTGTTCTATTATTCAATTCAGTGCTCTGATAAATTGTTTATTATTATAAGAACAGTAGATGCTCTTTGGAAAAAAAATGATTAGATGATATGGAAATAGATACAACCCTAAAAAGCAGCTTCTCTATAATTCTTTGGGTATGAGTAAAAATATTACTTCAGATTAATTAAATACATACACAGTTCTTTTACAACTCGATTCACTTGGGTATGTCTTAGACTTGTATTTCAAGGATTCATTTCTACTTTTAATGCATGTCATAATTTTCTGTTGATAATTTTTGCTGGTTTTGTAGTTTTTTAAAAAACATTTTTAAAGTATTAATAGGAGAAGCAAGTACAAAATACACTGAAAGGGCCTCATAGCAATGAGACCCCAACAGCAGTGAGCACTTCTAGCATCCAGATCTTGGTTTCTCTATAAAGAACAAGAGGTCCTTGGAGAAATGGTTCATTCTAGAGCTGGGGCAACGAATGTATGAGATGAGCCTAGAATGTACAAGATGAGGTATGCTATAGAATACCTGACCAGTGTGCCTTAAAACTGTCAAAGTGATTAAGAACAGAGAAAGTCTGAGAAACTATCATAGCCAGGGGGTCATGACTCCTAAATGTAATGGGGTATCCCAAATGGGATGCTGAAATGGAAAAAGTTCAATAAGTGAAAATAAATAAATTTTAATAACAATGTGGATTTTAGTACTGATTCATTGATTATTGCAAAAATACCGTAGTGATGTAAAATGTTATTATGGGAAGTGTGGTATGAGGCATGTGGGAACTCTTTTTTGCAACTTTTCTGCAAATCAGAAAATTTATTTTGAAATGTACAACTCAACAGTGAGTTTCTTACAAAGCAAATACCTTCAATTCCCCAGGTTAAAAAATAAAAAACATTGCCAGCATCTTAGAAATCATTTTTTTACAAGTCATTTTTTTATGCTCTTAATTCTTTAGTTTCCTCAAATTGCAGTTAGCTTTTCACATGACACTTTTTGTATATTTTGAATTTTCTGTAAATTGATGCATCCCCATTGTGGCATGTAGCTGTAATTCATTTTTAGTGTCATATATTTCATCATGAGAACATAAAATTTTTCCATATTGTTGATGTGCAGTTTTAGGTTGTGACTATTCAAGCCCTTTTATCTCTTTTATGTCTTTAACTTATTGATGTTTAGTTGTTTACATATTCAAGATATATATTGTCAGTTTGATGGGTTGGAAATATTTTCTTCTATTGTGGCTTTTTTTTTTTTTTTTGGGTAAAGAGATTGATCTCAGGGGCACTTATCACTGAACTGCATCTCCATTCCTTTTTAAGTAATTAATTTATTTTAAAATTTATATTGAGACAGAGTTTTGCTAAATTGCTGAGGCTGGCCTCAAACTTCTGATGCTTCTGCCTCATTCTCTTATAGTCATGTGCCACAATGCACAGCTATATTTTTAATTTTCTGTTACTAATCTTGAAATTCTTTAGTGTCATTCTATTTATCAGTGTTTTTTTTTTTTTCCTGACGATTGATGCTTTCTTAAGAAATCTTCCCCCAAGATGATGAGGTTGTTTATATTAACTCTCTGTCTTTTTCCCCTGTGTTCAGGGCCTTACTCAGTAAGATTTTCCCACCCAGGATTAGCAAATTACTAAACAATTCTTTACTCTCAGTGCTGGCCAGCTAATCCAGAGCCCATTCTACCAACCAACTTTATCATTGGCCTGTCAAATTCAGGACCATTAACTACCTGACTTAATCACTTCAGGGCCCAGTATCAAACAACTAGGGACAGCCCCTAAATCACAGCTTGCTGAAATTATTTACACAAGCCAATCCTGAGACAAGGCTTTGTTGCCCTGGCTGGCCTCATGGTTCTCCTGCCATAGCCTTCCAAGTAGCTGGGATTACAAGTGTGTTCCCCCACATCCAGCATGTACATTTTCATATTAAACTTGTCCCCAAAAAAGGTGAATTTTTTTTACTCTTGCCTGCAAACACTTCTATATTTAGTTTCACAATCATTTTATAGTTTTGTCATACATCACTTAGATTTGATATCTTTAATAGTATATTTTTGAAGTTTCATATTGCTGATATGACTGACTTCTCTACATTGACTTTGTAATCTTCAAAATCTAAATTTAATTATTTGTGTATTCAACTCACCATCTATGAATTAATTATTTCTTCTTTTTAGAGTCTTCTTGTTCTTAAAATATTATCTAAGATCTCCACTCCATTACAGGGTTTCGTGAGAGATGGTAGTGGGTTTTTTTGTTTCATCTCACAGGAAAATCTTTCAAAACTTCTATTAAATATTTTTACAATAGCATCTTTGTAGATATGGATACCCTTACAAGAAAGAAATTTTTAAAAAATTTTTAGAAATTTTGATCTTGATGTTTTTGTTGCTGGATTTCACTAGTGTTTTGTTTAGAATTCATGTGTTCATGAACGAGAATCTTTGTAGGCTCTGCAGTTTCCTTTTTCTCATTCATTATATGTGTTTTTTTTTTTCCTTTCTAGATGAGTCTTGCTATAGTTTATCAATTTTATTCGTATTTTTAAACACTCAACTTGGTATTGCTTCTATTAGGCTTGTTTTAAGTTTTCTACGTATGATAGATTGTTTTATACATTTTGGTTAATTTCTTTTCCTAATGGGAGGGAGATAGATGCTGAATGTGCCCTCTGAAAATTCACATGTTGAAATTGTAATCCCCAAGGTGATAGATATTAAGATGTGGGGCTTGGCAGGGGTGTGATTAGCTCATTAGGATGAAGACCTGAGTGGGATTAGCGCCTTTACAAAGGAAGCTTTAGGGAGTTGCCTTGCCCATTTCTACTATTTGAGGACCAGAGATGCCATCTATGAGGAAATGGATCCTCACTAACATACCACCTTGATGTTGGGACTTTCCAGTTTCCAGAATTGATATTTGTTTTGCAGTATCAGGAACCTAACCCAGGGTCTCAAGCACACTAAATAAATGCTGTACTAGTGAGCTCTATCCAAAGTCTAAGAAGTTTCTTTGTAAGCCACCTAGCTTATGATAGTTTGTTATAGCAATCTAGAATAGGAGGCTGTTTGTTTATCCTATGTACTTGGCTCACTGAGTTTCTAGCCTTTTTAATATAGCATTTAAGGCTATAAGCACTTTTTTTTTTTTCCTGAACCCAAGTTTTTACATATAGTATCTTCAATTAAAGATCCTTTTGTTATTTTTATTCTGATAAACAAATTACAGGTCAAATAGGAACCAGGAGACATGAAAGAAAAATTAACATTTTCTAGGCAGCTGCTAATTATCTCCATTTTACAGATGCAAACAGACTTCCAGAGGCCTTATACTGGTAGTAAAGGCAAAGGTTCTCTAGGAGGTGAGAAAGCCACCTGTTTTAATTTGCTAAGTTATTCAGCAAAAAG